CCTCCTCCTCCTCCTCCTCCTCCTCCTCCTCCTCCTCCTCCTCCTCCTCCTGCTCCTCCTGACTGTCTCTGTTTGAGTCCTGCAGGGATCCACAGAGGCCGGGAGGTACGCCTGCGCCCCGCTGCCTCCGTACCTGGATGGGAAGCAGCCTGAGGAGGAGGAGGAGGAGTCCAGACGGCCGCTGTACGATCTGTGCTTCCACCTGCTGAAGCTCTACAGCGACAGGTAAACCGGGTCACCTGGGGGCGGGATCAGAACAAGGTAACCCAACAGAACCGGTCTCTGGTTCCTCCTGCAGACACTACAGCCTGCAGCAGCTGCTCGACCCGCTCACGGTCACCTGGCACCGCCTGGACCACCGCCTCAGCTGGCACCTGTGGGGGGTTCTGCAGGCGCTGCACTACGGCCACCTGAGCGCCTCGCGGCAGGGCCTGCTCCACGCCGGCTACGCCGCCCAGCTGGAGAGCGCCGGACTGTGGCACCGGGCCGTGTTCATCCTGCTGCACATCTCGGACCACAGGTACGCCGGCCCGGTTCTGCTGACGTTGGCTTCCAGCTGCCGTTGTGCTCAAAGAGTTTTTGTTTTGTCTTCAGCCAGCGGGAGCGGGCCGTCAGGGAGGTTCTGACCCGGCACTGCCCTCTACAGGAGACGGACGAGTCGGTCCGCAGGGAGCGCTTCCTGACCGAGCAGCTCATGGTGCCGCAGGGCTGGATCCACGAAGCCAAGGCCACCCGGGCCCAGAGAGACGGGGACCTGCACCGGCAGGCTCTCCACCTGTACCGGGCCGGACACTGGAACCGGTGCCACCGGCTGCTGATCCAGCATCTGGCCTCAGGTACGCTGGTCTGGTCAGGTGGGCTTTAACTGATGAGGAAAAAGTTCTGGTCCAAGCTGTGGTTCGGTCCCGGTCAGAACCTGTTTGCTCCTTTCGCAGCCTGCATCATCAACGACAACAACGACTACCTGCTGGACTTCCTGGAGGGGCTGGCAGTCCCTGAACGCTGCACCACCATCCTGGACTGGGACACGGCGGGTCGGGTCTACCTGGACTACATCCGGATCATCAAGTCTCTGCAGGTCATCCAGCAGGTACGTTCAGGAAGACTGTCCTGAACTCAAAGGTTCTGGTTCTGTGGATCTTTACAGTTGTGCTGCTTGTAGACGGAGGCTCCGGGTTACGAGCTGGAGCGTCTCTACAGCGACGTGACGTCGCTCTGCGGCCGGGTCGAGCTGCTGCCCTGCCGCTGCGCCAGAGACCGCCTCGCCCAATCAGGTGAGAGCCTCCGATTGGCTGAAACCTGCAGAGCGTCAGAACAGATCTGTGATCAGTTTGAAGAGTCAAGTGCTTTGATTGACAGCTGTGGTCACATGACTCATCGGAGGCGGGGTTAAAATATAAAATACATTTTATTAAACGCTGTGTAATTAGTCTGGGATTGAAATCAACATTTTATTTCAGGTTTGTTTCCAGATCGTTTTATTTTAATTAAGATTCAACAACAAATTTGCACTAAAATCATAAATGAACATAAATATTTAGTTTCCTGTTCAGTTCTTCTGATTTTACATCAAATACAAAGTCCTGTTTCTGAAGTGGATCAGAACCAAACAAACTAAAGTCGAACCACAACAAGAAGTTTGATTCCCTTGAATTTATTTATTTTTACCTGGAAGGTCCGTTTGAGATCTTCTCCTGGAGTTCTGGTCCCGGTGGCGTCACGGACTCTGAGATGAATTCAGTAAAAGATAAAACTCGTAAAAATTCCAAGAAGCTTGAATTCACCATGAAGGAAACCAACTGGGAGCAGATCAGACCAGTTTAATCTTTTGGACCGAGTCCTCGTCTTCACGTCTGAATTCATCTAAACCTGTTTTCACAAACTGAATCCACAGGAAGTTCTGAAGGAGCTTCATATTCAAGATGTTAATGACACGTCGTTGGTGAGGATCTCTTCAGACCTCTGACCCAGATGATCGTCACGGTCTGAGAACCTGGTCTGTCCTGCACTTTCACTTCTGAACTTCATGAAAACCGAACGTCCCCAGCTGGAGCCACTAGAAGAAACGTGGACTTTAACAAAACAGCATCCTCCAGAACCAGGACCGCGTTGTTCAAACCCAGTCCAGGTTCTTCTCTGACGGAGACACCCCCACCCCCCGACATGCTGTCTATGGCCAATGAAAAGATTCAGTCCACAAACGGCTTGGCCCAAGCTCCTCCCCCAGCATCTCTCTTGAACTCCCGCCCCCCGCTGACGTCTAACCTGTCGGCTCCGTCCCGTCCCTCAGTCCTTGATAAATCCAGTCTCTGCTCCCCATCGTCAGACATTGTCCACTCCTCTGTCCTCTGGTACGGTCTCGACCCCCCAGCTTCATTACTCTCCGTCCCCTCTCCTTTCTTTCCAAACCCAACTTCACTCGCGTTTATCAAACATCAGTTCTTATGAACAGTTTCAACAAACTGCTCTGATAAACATCACACATGATCTTCACCTTGTTGACTCTGGTCATCTGTCCTGGACCACAGCTGGACGAGGACTGGACCACAGCTGGACGAGGACTGGACCGCAGCTGGACGAGGACTGGACCACAGCTGGACCACAGCTGGACCACAGCTGGACGAGGACTGGACCACAGCTGGACGAGGACTGGACCACAGCTGGACCACAGCTGGACGACTACTGGAGGACAACCTGACCTCATGTCCTTAAATGAATTGTTAAAACTGAATAGTTTTCGTTTGATACTATTTCTATCTTAACATGTGATTCTTGACCTGCCATTGTGTATCTGTTCTTACCAAACCCAGCCGGTGGAAGCAGATGGTCCTCTTGTCCTGATCCTGGTTCTGCTAAAGGTTTCTTCCTCATGAGGGAGTTTTTCTTTCCACTGTCGCCTTCATGCTTGTTCAAGATGAGAGTTCAGTGATGGAGTTAAACTCAAAGCTGCTCCTCAGATAAATAATGTTCAATTATTATTTTATACATGAATGTTTCTGTTCAGTCCCTGAGACGATTCTGTTGTGACTTGGAGCTGAAGAAATAAACTGAACTGAACTGAATGAAATTGTCCATCCTCGTCCTCCTCGTCCTGTGTGTGTCCTCCGACACCATCTCTGTCCTCAACAGACTCACTTCCACCTGCAGGTCTGGTACGCTCCTCGACTGGATTAAATCTGGTCTTTCTGGCTGCACTTAGTTCATTAAACTTCAGTCTCCCCCTGCCTCTACTGGTGTACCACAAGGTCCTGTTCTTGGACCCCTCCTCTTCATTACCTTCGTCCTCCAGGTCACGTCTTGTGGACAGTGATGAAACAGAACTCCTTGTTGGTACAAAAAATCTGAACCGTTTCTCCTCCCACTCAACAACTCTTTGTATCCCCCTCGCCTCGGGTCACCCTGGGTGTCTTCCTCAACAGCTTCCTGTCCTTCACGTCCCGCATCACTGATGTCCCTCGGCCTGCTTACCTCCACCTTCGTAACATTAGCCTTCCACGTCCTTCACTCCACTGCCATCCTTGTCCACAGTCTTGTGGCGTCGCGGATCGATTTTTGTCACTTCACAACTACAGATGCTCGAGAACTCTGCAGCCGGCGTCATGACCCAAAGCCCCTCACCCTCGTCCTGCAGCAGCTTCACTGGCTCCATCCACCATCTTGTCCCTCTGGGACACCATGGTAAAATTAGGGCTGCACAGATTGCAGTTTTCTGCCCGATCACCGATTTAGTTTCACAATCAACACTGTCCGGTGATATAAAGTCACATCGCACCTTCAATTTTCCAATATTGTTTTATTGAAAAACATACTGTTGAACAATATCCTAGAACCAATACAGACTGGTTTTAACTGGTCATGAGGTAGTGCTCTGAAATTTAACAGAAGTTCAGACCATTGTTGTTAAAACTAAAAACATCTGTAAGATCCGCGTCTCTTAAAAGTATCAGCTGATTTCCCAAAATTAAGGAAATCTGGGCCGATTTATCGGAGCCCCTCTAGTTCTGCACAGTCCAACTCCTCCTGTTCGGCTGTGAGCTCGAGTTCCTCACGACTGGTCACATGACCCGTCACGACTCGTCCTGGTCCTGGAGGACCAGGACTGGACTCCTGCTCTAGACGTCAAAGATGGCCGACGTTTCTCTTCTTGGGTTTGTTTTGGTGACTGAGCAGCTTCGCTTCAGGTCAGCTGATAGAAACGAGTGTTTTCAGTCCGACAGGTAGGTTCGTTCCTGCTGACGCCTTGAGAACCTTCAGCACTAAGCCCCGCCCCCTGCTGCTCCTCTCTCCTGCAGAGATGGCGAAACGTGTGGCGAACATCCTGCGAGTCGTCCTGAGCCTGCAGCAGAGCGAGGCCGCCCCCGACCCGCTCAGCGTCCCGCTGGCCCAGCTGGCGCCTCACATCAGCCGCCTGCCCATGCCGGAGGACTACACGCTGGAGGAGCTGCGAGGCCTGACCCGGTCCTACCTGCGGCAGCTCGTCGTCAGCCAATGAGAGCGCAGAGAAGCCCCGAGGGTCTTCAGATTCTGGACTCCAGTCCTCCGAGGTTTTTAACCAAAGCTTCAGCTTCTTTAATCCAGAGTTTGTCTGATCTGTGAACACGATCCAGGTTTCAGTTAATCTGAGGAGCTGATGTCGACGTGTTGGACCGGCCCGCTTTCACATTAACTGGTCCCGAACTGAAGTCGACGTGTTGGACCGGTCCGCTTTCACATTAACTGGTCCCGAACTGAAGTCGACGTGTTGGACCGGTCCACTTTCACATTAACTGGTCCCGACATGAAGCTCAGGTTCTGACCGGAGATTTGAAGCTGATCCGTAAAACGACTTCCAGAACGCTTCAAACCTAAAAATATTTAATTTAAACCCAAAAACTTCACAGATTCCAAAATGATCCGTTCCATCAAGTCCTGCCCAGAACTGAGGAACTGGTTCCTGTTGGGCCAGAACTCTGGGTCCAGTTAGGGTCAGAACTTCCGTTTGATGAATCAAATGTTGATCGTCTGATCTGAGGAAGTCAAACGTGCTTCTGTCCAAGCTGCAGGCAGGAACCAAGAACCCACAGAACCTCTGGTTCTGGTTCTGGCTCCTGAAAACGACTCAAACTGGAACTGGACTTCCTGAAGGTGAGCGGGTCGGGTTTAGTTCTTGTTTTTATTGTGGATATGTGAATAGACGGGTCTGACCGGACTCGTGGATTAACGGAACACGACGGACAGAGATAGTTTCTATTTTTCTAGTTCTCGTTTGAAGCGCTGAAACGAGTGATGCGTTCAGGGAACATGGGGTTTTTCTGTATCAACGATTAAATCAGTTCATTGAAATTCTGACTTTGTTAAACGGCGACGCTTCTTGTTTACATGGATGTTGTGTTTTTTAATAAAGATGTGTAGAAATAAAGTTTTCTCTTGTTGGATCTTTAAGGTTTTATTTTCTGTAAACAAGTTTTTCTTAAACAACAACAACAACAACTCATTGACTTTAAGTTGGTTTGACTGCTGAAAATACTGTTGTTGTTTATTTTCTTTTAGAACTGTTAGCCTGAAATAAAAGTAAGAGTTCAATATATTTTAACTTTAAGGATCTTTAGTTAAACGTTTCTGTTTTGTTTGTTTTTAATGTGTAAAAGTTGTTTGTGGTTGTTTTTGAGGCGTTTGCTGTGACGCGTGTGGTTCTGTGAGGAGCCTGCAGACCACCTTCACATCCAGCAGCAGAAAACGAGACCTGGTTTGGGCTCGGACCTGCTCGGTCTGTGGACGGGTTTTCTTTGAACCCGCAGTAGAAACACTGGTTTCTAAAGTTTTGCGCCTGAACTGACCCAGTTAAACCAGCGAGCTGTGGGATGTTCTGCAAGAACCTGGTTCTGTTTGTGGTCTCGTTAAAGCCATCCGAACCCAGGGCGGTCCAGATGACACTGATGTTCTGAACCAGTGAACAGGAACGGTTTGACCCAGTTGGGGCGGGGCCTGCGGTCTGGCTCACGGTGAGTCCAGGGCAGAGCCAGGTGAGGCACCGACCAGTGTTCGAGGACGACGCCCTGCTGCTCTTAACAGGGGGGATGACGTCATGAACGTCCGTGTGCTAAACGTGTTCACACGTGACGACCCCTGCAGCCGCGGGACACGCCAGGAGGATTGCAGCACTGCACCCCGACCTCCCGGCACCATGTGTTCTGAGCATCAACCTACACACGTGCACAACACGTGCACAACACGTGCAAACAGTTTCAGGTGTTTGTAGCTGATGCTAAATATGTGAATCAGTTTTTGACGGTGTTTTAACAACGAGGTCTCGAGTCTGGATGAGCTCAGCCGGGCCGACTCCAAGCACCACCAGAAGTGACGAGCCGTCTTCATCTCATAAAGTTAACGGATTAAGATCTGAAGTTCATAGACCCGGAGCCAGGTGGATAACAACAGCTGCTGCCTCAGTAACTCCACCATGTGTGTAGGTCTGAAGAAGCTAAAAACTTCAAGAACATCAGCAGATGAAGTTTGGACCAAACTGTGTACGTATGTATGTACAGGCTCAATGGGATTTACCTGGAGAAATAAAGGTTGATTGATGTTGCTGCTGATCAGTTTCATGTTGCTGCTGATCAGTTTCATGTTGCTGCTGATCAGTTTCATGAGGAACATGGGGGTCAGTAGTCATTTTATTTTATATAAATACATAAACGATTACGTAACCTTGCAACTAACCATATGTTGTTTAACACAAAACTTAAACATTGACGTAACAAGAACATGTTGAGAAATTGTGCTCAAGTTTGTATAAACAATTTTTGTATAAATCTTAGAAACTGTCATTAATCGTCGTGTTTAAAACACATTAACACCAGAAACACGAAGGCAGCTGTGCATGAACTGAAGAAAGTTGAAAATGTTCAAATACTGCACATTTTTAACATTTCCGCTCTTTGTTGAACTCCTGACATGCAAATAAAACAGCTGTGGGAAATGTTTAAGCCAAGTTCTGATGTCCATTTTGACATCAACGTGTCTCCTCCTCCTCGTGATATTATTAGTGGTTGGAAAAAAGAAACCTTTCATCCAGTTTTCCTTATTTTAATTCCATTTAAAGCGTGTTGCTCACCAGGTTTATAAATGGAGCTGTGGCTGTAAAGACATTTCTACTTTAATGCACCTGAACACTCAGTTCAGTGCTAAGATGCCACTTCTCTCCAACATCCTCCTAACCATGCTGACGTCACCGGAGCTCCACCTCCTCCACCTGTGAGCTGCTCTGCGGAGGCACCGACTCTGAGGCAGGTGGAGACTCAGGGAGCTGAGCAGGGTACAAACAGAAAGGGGCGTGGACAAACACTCATACCATATTTGGAAATGCACTCCGGAAATGAAGGGGCCGCTATTTTCATGATCACTAGTATAAATAAATTGTATTTAAAAGCCATTTTAAATGTGTTTTTGTGAAATACTTGGGCCTTTGAAATGGTACATTCTTCTTTTTGTTTGTTTACAAAAGGTGTTCTTTAAATATTATGTACTTTTACTATTTTTGCTTTGTCTCAGCTGAACTGCAGCAGCTCAGCGTTACCAGGGAAACCAACAAACTACTGGAGTTGTAAATAAATCGTTTTGTAACTGTTGTTTGACAATTGGATAATCTTGTTTTTAAAAAATTAGGAATACAAGTAAAGTAAATTACTTACAATAACTTATGTGTAAATATATTTGTTTCATAGTTTTGAACAAACACTTGAGATGTTGCAGCTAAGTTTATGTTTTTACATGTTTTTATAGTTTTGTTTAAGATTTCAAAAGAAAAAACGAGGCTAACTTTTTTTAATAAAGCAAGTACAAACAGAAACACATTTTGTTTACAAACAAAAAGGCGTAACACAAACAACAAGGTTCAAGTACAAAAATGCAAAGTAAGCTAAAATACATGGTAGTACAAATAAGGCAAAAATAAAATCTAGGGTTTACATTTTATCATATAAAGGATCATATTCTTTATATTATATATATATATATTATATATATATATTATATATATATAATATATATATATATTATATTTTTTTTTTTGTGTGGGACACAACACAAATATGTAGACGTTCACTCCATGATGAAATCCAGATGTGCAGCCAAGGATCTTCTGTCAGAGGTGGATTAAATAATTCAGATTAAATTCATCCAGAGCCTAAATATGAATAAAAACTGCTCCGGCACCTTCGTCGTGTTCAAGCTGCTCGTCCAGGACGAGGACAGGACCCCCGTACGGGACGAGGACATGACCCCCGTACGGGACGAGGACAGGACCCCCGTACGGGACGAGGACAGGACCCCCGTTGAGTGGACGACGTGCTCGGCTTCAGCAGAGCTCAGGACGGAGGTTCTGATGATGGATTTCATGGAGCAGTCAGAACCTTTCTGGATTCTTCTGGATCACCAGCTGAGCTGCAGCTCCACACCATGACAGGACCTCCTCCGTGCCTTTAGATGGAGGCACTCTGATGGACCTGCTGGACCACCTCTGGTTCTGCCCAACAGCTGGTTTCTGATCGGTTCTTCTGATGTGAACCAACTTCAGCCTGAAGAAGACCTTCTGATTGTAAACATGAAGCGAAGCCTCGTTAGTTTTAATCACTTTATTGAAAACGATCAGACAGACTGGAACACATCTGGACCGGATCAGAACCACGGAGGACGTCTGAGAGGTCAGGTGTTCTTTCCTCCGCTCAGCCGACGACTTAATTTAAATCAAGACATGAACCTGACGTCTGGAATCAAACCAGGTCAAAGTTTGGGCTCAACAACAAACAAACAAACAAACACATTTCAATCCAAAATAAATAACTGCCTGACCACACCCCCTCTGAACGTGCGGCCAATCAGAGCTCAGATGGGACCGCGGGGTAAGGAGCGTGTTGGGTCGGGTCGTTGGGGTCAGAGGTCAGGCCGAGGCGCCGCCGCTCCTTATGTCACCATGTACTCCTGACGCTTGTTGAGCCGCACCTGGCAGAGCGAGATGGCGCCCACCGCCATGTAGACGGCGGCGGCGATGAAGCAGTTGATGCCCACCTGGTTGTAGAGGCTGTAGATCTTCCCGGGGGGGTTCTCGCTGTGGGACACGTCACAGACTCGTCACTGAGGTTACACTCATCATCAGCAGTTGTTCATGTTCATGTGATCTGGTTCATAAATAAATTCTTCCTTCTGGTAATTTAAGCTTCTTTCTGCATTTTCACCTGTTTTTTTCTAATTTGAGCCTTTTTTAGATGATTTATTAATTTTTGTGCTCATTTCTGCTTATTAAAACCTATTTCAGCAAATATGGTTATTTCTGTTTTCTTCTGCTCATTTCAGCTACAAACCGGATTCTAAAAAAGTTGGGACAAGTAGCAATAAGTGTCTGGAAAAAGGAAATTGAGCATATAACGAACAGCTGGAAGACCAATTAACACTAATTAGGTCAATTGACAACATGATTGGGTATAAAAAGAGCTTCTCAGAGTGTCAGTGTCTCTCAGAAGCCAAGATGGTAAGAGGATCACCAATTCCACCATTGTTGCACAGAAAGATAGTGCAGCAATACCAGAATGGTGTTACCCAGCGTAAAATAGCAAAGACTTTTAAGTTATCATCATCAACCGTGCATAACATCATCAAAAGATTCAGAGAATCTGGAACAATCGCTGTGCGTAAGGGTCAAGGCCGTAAAACTCTACTGGATGCTCGTGATCTCCGGGCCCTTAAACGTCACTGCACCTCAAACAGGAATGCCACTGTCAAGGAAATAACAGAATGGGCTCAGGAATACTTCCAGAAAGCATTGTCAGTGAACACAATCCACCGTGCCATCCGCCGTTGCCAGCTGAAACTCTACAGTGCAAAGAGGAAGCCATTTCTAAGCAAGCTCCACAAACTCAGACGTTTGCACTGGGCCAGGGGTCATTTAAAATGGAGTGTGGCAAAATGGAAGACTGTTCTGTGGTCAGATGAGTCACGATTTGAAGTTCTTTATGGAACACTGGGACGCCATGTCATCCGGACCAGAGAGGACAAGGATAGCCCAAGTTGTTATCAACGCTCCGTTCAGAAGCCTGCATCACTGATGGTATGGGGTTGCATGAGCGCTTGTGGCATGGGCAGCTTGCATGTCTGGAAAGGCACCATTAATGCAGAGAACTATGTTCAGGTTCTAGAACAACATGTGCTCCCATCTAGACGTCATCTCTTTCAGGGAAGACCCTGCATTTTTCAACACCATAATGCCAGACCACATTCTGCAGCAATCACAACATCATGGCTACGTAGGAGAAGGATCCAGGTACTGAAATGGCCAGCCTGCAGTCCAGATCTTTCACCTATAGACAACATTTGGCGCATCATAAAGAGGAAGGTGCCACAAAGAAGGCCCAAGACGATTGAACAGTTAGAGGCCTGTATTAGACATGAATGGGAGAGCATTCCTATTTCTAAACTGGAGAAACTGGTCTCCTCTGTCCCCAGACGTCTGTTGAGTGTTGGAAGAAGAAGGGGGGATGCCACACAGTGGGAAAAATGGACTTGTCCCAACTTTTTTGGGATTTGTTGACGCCATGAAATTTGGAAACAACAGATTTTTCCCTTAAAATGAAACATTCTCTCAGTTTGAACTTTTGATCTGTGATTTGTGTTCTATTCTGAATAAAATATTAGATGTTGGCACCTCCACATCATTGCATTCACTTTTTATTCACAATTTGTTTAGTGTCCCAACTTTTTTGGAATCCGGTTGTACATTTCTGCATGTTTTAGCTCATTTCAGCTACATTTCTACATGTTTTAGCTCATTTCAGCTGTTTGTCAGAAGGTTTTTCAGAAATAAGCGTTCATGTTTCAATTTCACAGGAAATGCAGTTTGTGTAGTTTTGTCTTCATAATAAAAGTTGTGAGTTATGAGATGGTTTTCAGGGTCAGACAGGGTTAGGGGTCCTGAACGGGCCTACACTGCGGTGAAATCTGGGGGGACTCACTCGCTCCGGATGTCCTCCTCGGTGAACGGGACGTCTTCAATCAGGACGGCTGACTTGGCGCTGAAGAAGATCCCCAACATGACCTGTAAGACACAAGCAGAGGGGTCAACGTGAGGGGTCAACGTGAGGGCCGAGGGGTCAACGCGAGGGCCGAGGGGTCAACGTGAGGGCCGAGGGGTCAACGCGAGGGGTCAGCGGGGCCGCTGAGCGTCTGGACCGGGCAGCATGGGTCTCACAGTTTAGTTTTGTTAAAACCAACAATGAGCAGGAACGCACTTCCTCCTCTGGAACATCACATGACAGTGACACATGAAGTCACATGACCCACCTACAGGAACCGTCTGTTTCCAACATGGTGGAATAAACGGTTAGAAATCAATGAAGCATCAGAAATCACTCCACAGTCACTGAATGACAGAAACTGATACATACGATCGATCAGTCAGGATTTAGTCACCTCTAATCGTTATCCTGACCCGTTTACAGGTTCAACACCAGCCAGTGTTTAGGCTCCGTCTATTTACTGACGACCTATTGGATTTAAACGACAGTCTTGTTAAAATGTTTTTATTTTATCAGCTTAGCTTCAGCTGATTAAAGAAACTCCCATCATTTACTATAAACAACAACGTTAAGCTCCAACTCAACGGAGCCCTCCGTCCAGGAAATAGCCTGTTCCCGTCGCTGTCTTACCAGCATGATGACCCCCCAGATGCTGATCACCATCCCGCAGGCGGCCATCTTCGGCCCGCAGAACAGAAGCGACGGCATGTCCGAGCTCACCGGTAAGAAAAGATGATGTTTGTTCGTTTAGTTTTCTAAACAACTCAAACACGACCCATCAACCGACCGAACACCGCAGTCAGCTGATCCCGGCCGCTCGGCTTTTCTTCTTCTTCTTCTAGTATTGTTTTATGGCGGTTGGCAGACCAACTGTAAGGTGCATTACCGCCACCTACTGAGCTGGAGTGTGGGCAGAAGATATACAGGAGA